CTAAAAAAAAAAATTTTTAAAGCTAATTAGTCCAAGTAGGAAGGCTGCTGAAAGGAAATGTCATCTTGGTCCTAAATAAGGATCAACTTAACCACTGAAATATGAAGACTGATAGCAATAATGCTTGCAACTGTACACTGAAGCCAGTATTCCTGTTCATGCTGGATAGACTTTGTAAGGAGGTGACTTACTACAAATATTATTGATGAAGCTAAGCTATGACATGAGATAAGGAAAATAACTTAAAAAATGAAATCAAATATAATATTCTGGCTTTCTGCCAGAAAACCCCAACCAGCAAATGTTTTTTCCTACTTTTGAAACATTCTGACTGGATTAGGATTTCAACTATATGCCTTATTTTCAGGCTCATTTAAATATTTAAGCATTTTCCTGGTATTTAACTAAAATAAACAAAATAGTAGTAATTTTGTAACAATAGAAATAAAGCTTAGAAAACTCACTATGGTTAAACCTAGCAGCGCAAGTGACCAGACTGCAGCGTCAGTTGTCAGCTTTTAGAAGCACTTTGAATCTCCAATGCAAATTATTTTACCAGGCAGTATAGTAATAAAGTTGGTAACTTAAAAATCAAAGAAGTCAAACAGTTAAACCTGCTGGCACTAGTACAAGTACCTCATCATTTCCAAATTTGAGTATCAGTCACTACGATCTCACTTGTTTTATTACTAAACAACCTAGACTTAGCAGAGGGTATGCCTTTGTTTTTATATTCAAGTTTTAAGGATTTATTTATGAAACATAACAGATACAAGCTTCTAAACATAAGTAGAAAAATGTCATTTTATTATACAACTTATCTTTACAAATTACTGGTATAAATCCGTCATCCTTCAAAATTTGTTCTTTAGTAAAAATGGGCTGATGATATCTTCCTTGAAAACAAAGGATAGCAAACCATTATGGAATTACAAATAATTTTCAAGTTCTTCATATGTTCCAAATCAAATATCTTGGCTGTCTTTAGGGTCTAAACAAATTATCATCAAAAAGCTTTCATTTTCAAATGAACAGATTTTTGTTGTTGTTTTTGTTTTTGTTTTTTGCTATAGGGCACATGCACTCGCCAGAAAGACAAAGAGAGACAGAGAGACAGAAAGCAAGAAATCACTCCCCAGGGGAGATGGTCACACTGCAATCTCTTCTCCTCCATTTTCCTCTCAGGATCTTGGGCACACATGCACATGCACCCGGTGTGAGTTTAAGCTACCAGGTCCGGGATTCGAACCGTGGTCAACTACATGGGAGTCCAGCGACATAGCCATTATGCTAACTGCTGGTCCCCAGATGAACAGTTTAATGAGCCTTTCTATGTAATATAAATTATTTTATCATCTAGAGATGTGAAATTCTAAAACTATAGGGTGATAATCTGGTATTTTACATCTTAAAAGGATAGCTTAAACACAATTGGTTAGAACCATTATAAATTAAATGAAATTCATTTGGTGGGTCTGTGTTTTGAAAATACAAATATTGTATTGTATGTGATTGTGCACAAGCCTAATAAAATTGATTGTTCCATTATACTACTTATTTTTCTAGGTTAACTCAGGCATTCAGAATATTGCCAACGAGAAATCCCTTTCCAGAGACCTTGTCTTGATTTGGGATCTGGAAACTGAGTCTCTGAAAGTGGTCAGCTCAGTTTTGCTATGAAGGAAAACCATTACTCAATAAAAAGGAATCAAAGCTTAACAAAGAATTTTATATTTTTAATTGAAGAACAAATGAGCATATAAAGAAGGGAACAGGGGGACTAGTAGAAGGTGTAATAGTTTTGTCCCTTGATTCCCATGTAGTCAAGTTTGAGTCTCGGACCTGGTGACTTGAACTCATGCCAAGCATGTGAGCCTGTATGCCCAAGATCCTGAGAAGAAAATGGAGAAGGAATTGCAGCGTGGTCATACCCTGGGGGGTGATTTCTTGTTTTCTGTCCCTCTGTTTCTCCAGTGAGCGCACACTCCCTGTAGGAAAAATCTCTTAAAAAAAAAAAAAAAAAAGAAGAAGAAAAAGGAAACAGGAAGAAATATTGGTGGCAAAAATAATCCAGAGAGGGAAGATTAAGTCCAAGTTCAAATCTAGTGATTTGGAATGTCAATTCTGAATTGAAAACATGTGTTCCAGGCCAGTAGGTGACATGCAGGTTAGGATAGCTGGAACTTATATGGCCAACAGCATGGTTCAAGTCCCAGATCCAGTGGCTTACATGCATGCCCAAAATCCCAAAAGAAAAATGGAGGAAAAGTGATTGATTGTGACATGGTCATCCCTGCTTGGGGGTGATTTCTCATTTCCTCTCTTTCTCTCTCTCTCTCTCTCTCTCTCTCTCTCACACACACACACACACACCTATAGCAAATAAACAAACAAAAATATGCAATCCATGTAATTTAGTGTAAGACAGGGATTTCCTTTAAAAAAAATCCATTTCTTCCATGAGCAAGAGATACAGAGAAAGAGAGACAGAGAGACAGTACCTACAAAAGTGTTTTGATGTCATGATCCCCAGCTCCATCCAGTCCCAAATCACGGGCACTCACGGGGGGGGGGGGGGGGGTCCTCTAGATGCAAATCCATTTTACTGTTATACCACCTTCAATCCCAATTCAGGGATTTCTTTGTCCTCCATTCTCCAATTGTTTGTTTGTTTTTAAGGAGAGATTTTTGGAGTAATGGTGTAATGGTTACATTGTTGGACTCCCACATAGTAAAGCATGGTTTAAATCCTCAACCCGGTGGCTTAAAACTCAAGCCAGGCATGTGTGTGTGCAAGCCCAAAATCCCAAAAGGAAAATGGAGGAAAAGGGATTGCAGTATAGCCATCCCCTGGGGGGTGGGAGTGGGGGAGAGGTGGTGATTTCTTGCTTTCTGTCTCTCTCTCTCTCTCTCTGTCTCTCTGGTGAGTACACACACCCAAGGGGAGGGGGGGACTCTCTAAAAATCAGAGAGAGAGAGATTTTTGCTATAGGGTGTGTATGCTTGCCAGAGACAAAGAGAGAGGCAGAGAGAGAAAAAGTGAGAAATAACCGCCCTGGGGGTGGATGGCTATGCCACAATCTTTTCTCCTCCATTCTTCTCTTGGGATTTTGGGCACGCACACACATGCACCCGGGGCGAGTTTTAAGCCCCGGGTCCAGGACTCGAACGGCAGTCAACTACATGGGAGTCCAGCAACATAGCCATTACACTAACTGCTGGTCCCTGGAACAAATGGTTTAAAGACAGGCTTGCTGCTCTTTTCAGACCTTCATACATACAGCCAAATCCCCACCAGCCTTCATGGTTCCAAGAATAGTCTTCATTTTTAAGACAATAAGAAACTACTAAATTATGTAGAGGGGTTATTGAATATAAACCTAAAGAAGGGTTTATAACCCTATAACCTAAACTTCAACAGTTGGTTTAGATGCACAGCCTCATGCTTCATTATAGCCAGATAGGTATAACAATAACGAGTTACTGAAATTTCCTTTGGATTATATTATGTTCCACAAAATCATGCTTACAAAAACTACAAGAATATCCAACAAAATCACTAGAATCTAAGATTTGCTCAGGGATTTCCCCCAGAGAATGGACAGTCAGCCAGTGAGCTAACTGGTACCTGATCATGTGCCCTCACTGTATTGGCAACTTGATTACTCCACCGTATAAGTTACAGCTAGAACTGGGCAATGTGGGTGGGCTCACATTCTGATCCTATTTAACTAGAGAGATAATTATCTATAAATATCTACTTTACTATGCAGACCACCCCTCACAACTGGCATCCATGAATATGAATGCAAAGAAAGCAGACAGGCTTTTCAGAAATGTCAATGGATACAGAGAAAAAAATCCAGACAATGCAACTGAAATATGGAACACCTACGCTCTATTTGCATATGTCTTATCCCTTTCCCCCTAAATTCTCAAAGCACAAAGCACAATAGTCTTTCTTTCATTAAGTTTAAATTAAATTAAAAAAAAAACTACTATTATAGGACCAACCAGTGGCTTGGGGGTTAAGGCAACTGGATCCCACATAGTGGACTGCAGGGTTCAAGTCTGGATCTGTGTCTTCAAAAACATGCTGAGCAGATATGCATTCATGCCCCAAATCCTGAACTGAGGCAGAAATGGAGATGCAACTGTGGTGTGGCTATCTCCCATGGAGGGGGAAGTTTCTCGCTTTCTCTTTTTCTCTCTCTCCCCAGCAAGTATATGTTCACTCTAGCAAATTAAAACAAAACAAAAAACTATTATGAATTTATTCATTCTTCCCTGCTTCCCCTCCAAAAAATAATCATTATGACAGCACACACCCACTCTCTGAATTCTGCTACTCCAGATCTCTATCATTGTTGATATGTCACTGGATCATCTTGGTCACTGGACCGAGGGTTCTTTGAATTCACTTTACCAGTGGTTCTGGGAGTTTCTCAGGCCCCTCTGGTAACTTGGAATGAAAAGACCAGGAAGTGAACACGTGCAGGCCTTCCAAACTCCTCGCCCCACACTGGAGCAGTTTTTAAATGTAAGTACTAGGCTTTTTCATAAATTTCCGTTTGCTAGGCCAGCCAGCGATGTTGTAGTTAAGGCAGCTGGATCCCACACAGCCCACTACACTGGAATCCGCTGGCTTGGGAAACATGGTGGTCACCTGTGCCTGTCTGCCAAGATCTCAGGAGAAACAAAGGAGGAGGGATTGTGACAACCATTCCCCGCCAGGATGCTTTGTCACTGTTCCTCTCCCTTTCTTTCTCCCTCTCTCTCCAGTGAGCTCACAGCCATCTGGAATTTTAAAAAAGAAAAAAATGTTAGCACGAAAATTCCATTGATATTCAAAGGTTTGAAAGCCACTGATGCGGTAGAAAGAAGTGCTAAACGACTTTGAAGGACAGGACTTGTCACCTATTTCGGCAAGAGAAAAAACCCTCCCCCTGTGATAATAATCGCAGCATTGCTTACCTCACAAGGTCTCTGTGAGGCCAAAGCACAACCAAGAGTGCAGGCAGAGCCTCAGCTGAGCAGGTGTTCTTCCATCTCAAGCAGCCAGAAGTCCGGCCTCCACGGGACCCGACTTCCCACTACCACCACCACGGGAAGTGGACCCCGCTCCACTTGCCGAGACATCAACTCACCCACCCGGGTGTCCATTCTACTAGATAAGATATGAATCTACCCCACCGAGAGGCCGACAGTACTGGCCAAGAGTCTGAGCCCACTGGCCTAGATTTCGACTCTGCTGCCCAAGATGATTTCTACACCAGCCAAGAACTCAACTCTCTCTACCAAGAGCTGGACCTGAACTCTCTTAATGAAGATCTTCTTTCCCTGTCCATACCATATGCCATGACAGGGACCTCTGTGGTCACATATGAATCCCACCTGTCCTCTGAACCAGAGAATTTGACAGAGACCGAACATTTGGAGTTCAAATCCGAGCTTACTAAATTGGAGGTAGAAATCGTAACCTTACGCCGAGCTCTAGCAGCCAAAGAGAGACACTACTGGGAGCTCAAGAGAAAGTCAGACCCCACTGCCTTGGAGGGGTTTAGACAGAATCTGTCCAAGAGCTGGCATGATGTTCAGGTCTCCAACGCCTACATGAAACAGAAAACATCAGCTGCCCTGTCCACCATGGGCTCTGCTATCTGCAGGAAGCTTGGAGATGTGAAGAAGTCAACCACTTTCAAGTCCTTTGAAGGTTTGATGGGGACAATCAAGTCCAGAGTCACAGGTGGCCGAGAGCTCGGCAGCGACAGCCTCCCATCTTTGGCAGAGAGTGGAGACGATCCACCCCCAGTTTTAGCAAGTGGGTATGACCCAGTTCCAGTTCCAGGGAGTGGAAATGATCCGCTTCCCATTCTGGGGAGTCAGGATGATGGGCTTCTCTTTCTGGAACCAGAATGAGCCCCATTTGTAAACTTACCTGGCCTCCAAACCAGTGCAAGAACCCTCTTCACTCATCACATCTGCAACAGTGCCCAACAAAAACAAGCAAACAAAGCACCATGGTAAAGTTAATCAACAAAATGGACAGAGTTCTGTTTTGAGGAAAGTAATGCCTATTTGTGCATAGATATTTGCTGTTACTGAATGAGATAGAGGACTCAACATTTTCTACCTAGTTATTTTACACTACAGTTTATAGATTAAATGTATCACTATGCTAGCTTTCCTGGGTTTACATTTAAAGGACAGGTGTGTGCTTCCAGAGGAGTCTTAGACAAAGCCAAACTCTCTTTTGGAAAACTAGTCTATAAGAAGACCAAAGTAGATTTCTGTTTAGGATTGGGGAAAAGTATGAAAAAAAAATCCAGTTTTATCACCTTCTCATTTCCTTCCTTCCCTGAATCTCAGAAGAGATACAATCACTTTGCAAGCTCCACCTGGCCTATAACTTTTATTTTTAAAAGATAATCAAGAAAACTGTCCATCTTCTCTGAGACTCCCAGAAGGAGGAACATAATATTAGTAATAGACTAATTGTAATTAATACTATTTATAATATAAAATTTTTAAAGCCCCAATTAAACACAGCAATTTAACATAAATTTAGGAGATTGATACTATTTTATACTCAAGTCGAAACTGCAACTTTATTTTGTCTTGTCTTTGTAATTTATGTATGGAAGTAAGTGTTTTAGAGTTTAACCCCTGTGGTAGCATGTCTCTGCCACCGCAACTTATCACTTAGTAAGAAGAAAATTCCTTTTCTGTTCTGTAGGTAACTACCACCTGGTCCTGAGGGGCTGAAGGGAAACTGTATAGCCAAATTAAAGAAAGGTACACCCTGTCTTAAGCAACATTTAAAAGAGAATGCCTATTTCCTGTAATGCTGTCTATTATGCCTTTGAATGGACCTAAGTGATTATATATCACTGTTCTGTTCTGCTAATTCTATCCTTGTTTTTAGTTAACCCCGCCTGAGAAGGAAGCATTCAACATTCTGAAGCTGTCAGCACAGGAGGAACCTATAGGAACCTAGTTTGAATTTGCTCAAACATTCAGATACTCAGTTTTCACAGGAGCACTGATACCTTTTTGGATTTTGTTATGGGTTTTTTGTTGTTTTCTTTTTCCATTATCAAAATGCCAAGGTCTGGCAACTTCTTTCATCCCTCCAGTCACACTGCATGGGTTAGAAGTTTGTGTCTGACTAGCTCTCAGCAGAGTTTAGGAACTTTTTTTGCCTGGGTATATTTCAATAACCTCTCACTGTTTAAAGGTAGTCCCTCCAGCCTAAGAAGGTGATCCTTTTTGGTTGAGTTTTGAATGTGCCCCCTATATTCCTTTGCTTTTCCTACAAATGAAACTAAATATCACTATAAATGCAAAAGTACTTGGTAAACAGTAATGTTATTATAACTCAACTCTGCACAGATTTCCGAAGATGAAGTTTTGCTTGGATTAAAACAAGATGTTCAGCTGTTTACATGTTTGTTTTTTAATTTGTTGTGCTTATGGTTTTCTATGCTGGGGAACAAAAGATGCATCTACAGCATGTACAAAGCAAAAGTAGCTCAACAGGCAAAGACTTTAACCTTATATTTCAGAAAGGCTTATGTTAGGGATAGTCTAGACTGAGATCATGGGCCAAACCCAAAATATATTCTATTTTATTTAATAATTTGTACAAATGCAGTAGCAGTTTCTCCAATAAATTTGCAATTCAATTAGAGCAATAAAGTACATATCTGTTTTGGTTGATCATTACAGCCACTCCTCACTTAACAAACAACCTATTTAACAACTACTTCGTCTTAACAACCAGTTCTCTGACTCAATGAATCCCCTTTCTCAGTCTATGTTAGTCTCAGGAATCCCCTTTCTCAGCCTGTCTCATTCCACAGTCAGTTCATATTCACTACACAAAGTGTTCACAATCAGGCAAGACTGTGTATTTCATTTATAAGTTTATACTCTGTTGTGCACCCATAACAGTATTCAGAATATATAAAGTAATTATGCTCTATTTATGTTATTATGTTGTGGTTTGTCTTCTTGTTACCGAACTCACATCAGGTTCGCTCGCCAAAGCGCTATAAAACCAAGCCATAGGTACATGGTGTGATGAAGGAAAGTATAGCTTTATTGCAAAGCGCAAAGCAAGGAGAGCGGGCAGCTCATGCTGAAAACACCCGGTCTCCCCGAGATGTTCCCCACATGCGTTTTTAAGGGCAAAATTAGGGGCAGAGGTCCCAGGCGCATGATCAGTTCAGTGATTGGTTCAAGAGGGTGTGATCAGCTCATGGGCATTCTTGATTGATGAGGCCTTAGATAATCAAATTCCTCTTCAGGTGTCTGGAACCATTCAGCCTGGAGTCTCTGAGCTCACAACCAGCAGTTTCCAGTCTACAAAACACCTTACATATTGAAATGAAAACCTTTTTTCCTTTAAGTGAGAGTTTTAGAGGTCAAATGGGCCTCACTCATGGTCCATGTTGGTCATTATCATAACCAAAGTCTGAAGACTTACTCCTTACTCTGGGCCATTACAATGCAAATGGACTTTATATTTCAGGAACCCTAGAAAATACATCAGGGGGTTCTTGCTCTGTTTCATTGTCACTTTCGGGCTCTTATTGAGTGTGTGCATTTAGAACAGACAGAATTAAATTATTCTAGTTTTATGTTGTATTATACCTATATATAATACAAAAATATATACCCCATGGCACCACAACACACCACAAAGACATCCATCTACCATTAAGCTCCTCACTTATTTGTCGGACCCACTGACGGCGAACAGTTCCTGAGTTGGGGGGCGAGGATTAAAGAAAGACAAGAAGACAGGATAGAAACGGGAGGACTGCCAGCCATGAGTTAAGTTTATTGCCTTATTTTATACAGAAACATTTGGTTTCCTTGACATGGGACTCAAAAGTCCTTGCTGAGTTTATCAGGTTGTTGCAACAATACTTGGAACATTCTGCACTTAAAAATTCAGTCACCCAAGGTTATGTCCGGACAACAACCCTGGTTGCCATCTAGTGGTCACGTCCTACACATTCCCCACATCTCCTTGACTCCCCACACTTACTAATTTGCTTATCAACCAAGTTATAAATTGTTAAATGAGGAGAGCCTGTATTCCCATACATGGCTTAGAGTAGATGTTCAATAAGCACTTAGTTGAATCAATGAAGGAATTAAAAACACATACATCAGATATCAAATCTTAAATCTAAGAGATTATAAATAGGAATTGGTTAACAAGTTTTTCCTGCTTTGTTTTATTTTCACTTTTTTTAGAGATTTTTGGTGCGTGCGCTCGCCAGACAGACAGAGACATAGAGACAGAAAGCGAGAAATCACCGCCCCAGGGGGGATGGTCACGCCGCAATCCCTTCTCCTCCATTCTCCTCTCGGGATCTTGGGCACGCACGCACACATGCCCGGCGTGAGTTTTAAGCCACCTGGTCCGGGACACGAACCGCGGTCGACTACGTGGGAATCCAGCGACATAGCCATTACGCTAACTGCTGGTTCCCAAGTTTTTCCTGCTTTTGAACAACAATATTATGTTTATTCTAAGCATTTTCAGTATTTAAAGACAATGTGAGGCCCTACTATGTGTCAGTACTGTACCTGACCCAGAAGGCACAAAAGTTAATTAGACACAATTCATGTTATCTAGAAACACTCAGGTTTTCCAATCGTTACAATTTACTGTAGTAGGTCCTAAAATAGGACTTGGTGCTAGAGACAAAGGGAGTCCTGAGGAAGGGTGTTCAACTCTGCTTTGATAGGTCAGTAAAGACCCGTCTCTCTTCAGAGAGACAGAATGTATTCGAAAACTATGGGGAGTTTGCCAGACAGATAAAAGTAAAACATTCTAGACAATATCCAGAGGAACTGAGTCATAAAGAAATGTATATGAATGTCACGTTCCAGGAAATACCAGTGAGTCATTGTGGCTAGAATGTGGAGATGAGTATGGAAAAATAAACAAGAGCAAAATTATAAATGCTGCCTCAGACATTAATATTAATCCTGTAGGAAATGAAAAAGCATTGAAATACTTAAATTAGAAAGTAACTATCAGGGGACCAGCAGTTAGCGTAATGGCTATGTCACTGAACTTCCCACGTAGTGGACCGCGGTTCGAGTTTTAAGCCGGACCCAGTGGCTTAAACTCATGGCAGGCGCGTGTATGTGCATGCCCAAGATCCCAAGGGGAGAATGGAGGAGAAGGGATTGCGGCGTGGCCATCCCCCCTGGGGGTGATTTCTCACTTTCTATCTCTCTGTCTCTCTCTGTCTTTCTGGCATGTACAAGCCCCCTATAGCAAAAAAAAAAAAAAACTATTGGGGCAAGCAGGTGGTGTGGTCATTAAAGCACTGGACTCTCACATGGCCAACTGTGGTTCAAGTACCAGACCCAGTGACTTGAAAAATCACACCAGGCGTGAGTGCACATGAACCCAAAATCCTGAGAGGAGAATGGAGGAGAAGGGACTGTGGCATGGTCATCTTTCCTGGGGTGATTTCACATAGTCCCACTCTCTGTCTCTCTCTAACTAGTGTGTGTGCCCTGTGGCAAAAACCTAATAAATAAAGAAGAAGAAACTATCAAATATATAATTTACATAGATTATTCTGTTCACCAGAGAAATAGATTGAGAAGTATTTAAAGAATGGAGGGCCAACTCCATAGCCTAATGGTTAAGGCAGTCAGATTCCACATAGCCAACAGTAGTTTGAATTCTAGTCCCATTGACTTGAAAAATCACACAAGGAGTGTGTGTTTGTGTGTGTGTGTGTGTGTGCGCGCCCAAAATCTCTATAGGATAGAGAAATGGAGAAGAAGGGATTGCAGAATGACCATGCCTCACTGGGGGGGAGGGGGGCTTCTTTCTCTCTCTGGCAAGTGCATGCACCCTCTGGCAATTAAAAACAAAAGTGAGACATGATATCCTCAAATTTAAGAACCAACTGCATGGAATAGAGGGATGGATACATTTGGAAGATAATAAAAATGTAGAACTGAAAAGGTTTGATGTTAAGTTCCTGGAGCTGCACATTCATTTTGTTTT